AATCAAAATTAAAGACTGGAAGTCTGAAATCAGGAATTTGGAAATTAGAATTTTTACCCGATTAAAGTCTGGAAGTCTGGTCGGCGTCGGGACTGTTCACTGTTGTCTCTGGTTGCACTCGCATTTCGCACTCGGCACTTCGCAGACTCGCAGTCGCAGCGAGCCAGGCAGCCATACAGTCACAGCGATGAGCGATGAACAGCACAACCTTCGCCACTTCGGTCAGTTCGGTGTCTTCGATTCGGTTCTTCCCTGCTTCGAATCGACTAATCGGTGTTGCGCGCCTGCGCCTATGCTACTTACTGCTTCCAGCTTCCTTCGTCTAACCAGATCTGTGAGTGTGAGGCAGTGAGGGGCCTCTTACAAATTCATGTTGGGGGCCCAAACGAAGAAAATTAAAAATTACAACTTAAAAAAAAAAACTTGGGCTTTGTAAAAAAAAATTTGTTGGGGGCCCAGGACCCCAACGGCTTCTCTTTGCGTCCGCCCCTGCCAATAAACGTATTGTAAACAAATCTTTAGTCAATAAAACCAATATTTACCAAAAGAAAAATCTCAACAAATAGTAATATGATTTAAAAACAAAAGTAAGCATCTTTTAAGATTTTGGACTCTAAGTTGTCACATTTCGTGACAACGATGTTCAATTTGGTGTCCTCTTCTCTTATGTCTTGGTTGTTAGGTGAGTTAGAAAATATCGTATTAGGTGAAAAATATGTAATTATTGATTAAATTATATGATTAAAAACTTTAAGTAATAATTAAGTAGTTAAATAATTTTTAATAAAACAAAATTAATACATTAAATATTTTAAGACCAATATATGGATATAAAAAGAGCATGTGACGGGCTTACATTTTTTGTTGGCTTCCTTAGTACAAAGTGGGTTCCTCTAGAAATTAAAAAAAATGAATATTAAATAAGAAAAAAAACAAATAATAAAATTGGGTAGAATTTAAAAAAAGATAAAAAGACGAGGACTTATCATGCAAATATGAGAAAATTAGAAGTTAAGTCATCATTTGCTTATATTATATGGGGTAGATGCTCCTATCAACTTATCGCATTGTGGCTTTTCCGATAAGCCCACTTCTCAATCCAATTTCCATCTCCCCCCTCTATCCAACTTTTTATCTATTAACTATTCTAAAGTTGTTTGAATGATTTAGTATAAAATGATTAAGTAGTAAGAATGATTAATATATTTTTATAATATAGTGCAAAATAAAATATAATTTTTTGGTAATTGTTTATAATAAAATTAAACGTTGAATGGTTAAGATAAACCCAAGATACAAATATTCAGAGGGTTTTAGAATCATTAAGAAGCAGACTTTTTTTTGTCAAACAAGATTGATCTCTTAGCGATTCAGAGGTTGCCTCTTAATAGAACTATTAAGAGGTAAACAAACAATCTCTTAGACTAATGTACAACATGTGTTTGTTGTGCAGGAATAATAATTTTTTTAAAGAAATATTTGATCCAATCGTAACCTCATTATTTATGGTTATATATATATTGATATATAAATAAGAATTAAATAAGAATAAATTTTCATTCCCTTTGGTTTAACTAGAATTGGAAATTTTTAAGTTTATGGAGGAATGAACCCATTATATTATATAAAACGAAACCACTTATTTTCTTTTCATTCTTATTATTTACAACTTAATACCTTCTCATTTCTCATGATGCAGAAAGAAGGTCCTCTAAAAATACGACAACATTATGTGAACAGACACAAAGACATCACATCCATTTTTTTATATCTCTTTATTTCAAAGCTTTAACTTCTCATCAACGTGGAACAACTAAAACTCAAATACAATTCACCATTTATAAATATTTAATTTTCATGCCTTTTGGTTCAACTCTCATGGTGCCACATCAAGATCTAACATCTTTATTGATTGATTGATTAATCAATTGATTGATGTTTTATATAATAAGATAATATTTTTTTTTTACAAAAAGAATGTCATCCAAAATAAAACAACTTGTCAATCAAAATCCCATGAATGAAGACAAAAGCAACACATCGACATTTCTTATTTACACCTCTTTATTCTAAAATTTTAACTTCCCATCAACATGGAATAACGAAAACTCATGGTATCATCTACATTTGAGAATACTCAATTTTTATGGTACTGATTGTTGATACATATTACTAAAAATTTAATATTACAAGTAAATTGTATGTAAATATAACTTATTAAAGCTCTATCTTAAATTTATTAAATAATCAAATAAATGATAAACATTTCATTTAAATATAAATAATTAAAATATAATTAAGATAATCATTAAATTTTAATAAAATATTTTATTATAAAAAATTATATTATTAAATCAAAAATAAATCGATTCTTAAAATAAATTATAAATACCTCCTTGTTTACTAAAATAAATTATTTTTGTTTTTATCTATCATTATATTTTGATTGATAACTAAAAATTTCGAATGAATATGATGATAAGTTCGATCAGATAATAATAAATGATTAAAAAAATAATTAAAAACTAATATAAGAAATTAGAAAGGATCTGGATTCGGAGGAGTTTGTCACGTGAACGGCAACCTCCTGTCATCCCCTCGGTGTATATATATACGCACACACAGACTTCTAAAATGTGTTTTTAGATTCAGAAGAAACCAGAAGCCCTTCCCTCTTTCTCTTTCTGCCATTACACATACAGCCTTTACATACAGATTTTTCTTCTATATCTGTACCCTCTAAACGCAACAGCAAAGAGGGATCGATCGGTGCTTGGGGGAGAGACTGTGGTACCACAAGTATACGGAGACAGAATTGCTTCTGTATGTCAGTAGATTGTACGCACTGCAACTACTACGGTGGATTTGGTGAGTTTGCTAACCCCTTGCAATGGCCTCAGCTTCGCAAAAGGCGTCGCATTCTTGCGTTGATTCCCTTCCAATCCGCCGTCAAATTGTTCCAGCCTCTGCCTCCGCCGCTGCTGACGTCGTCGTCGTCGAGGATTGGAATAACGACGATCGGCCGTTGCCGATCAAGAATTCCGTGATCACTCCTACTGATCCTTCCGCTAATGCTTCCACGAAAGGTAGTTTTATGTCTGTATGTTCGTATTTGTATTAATTTTCAATATATCCGTCCATACGTATGTCACCGTCGTACAAGTACATATAATCTGGAAAAGTACGAATTATATGATAAAAATACTAATGTTATGTATGTGAGGACATATGTACTTTTACGATTCATCTACGAATACGTATATATACATGTGTAGATAAAGATTTATCTGCAGATATATGAGTTGGATGGTGGATGTTACACAATTTGGAAATATGCTTCTATGTGTATATTCAGACAATTTTTATGTCAGATCTTGGTGTTTGCTGGTGAGATTCATCAACATCTGTTCTTTTTATTTGTCACCTTTGTTGGGTGGGGCTTACCTAAGTTGCCATTTTCCGTGAATCTAATATTATATTGGACTTTAAAATCAAATAAAAACAATGTATTGATCCACTATTAATGAAATAATTAAATCCTTTCAGTTGCTTGAGGTTTTGCAAATTATCAAGTGACTAGAGACTCTATGGATTGTCATGGACTTGATTTATGGCCTAAAATTTTCAATTACATGTATATATTGTTAGTTTATGTTGGAAGTAAGCTTGATTGTTAATTTTTAGGCCTTTGCCTTCCTAGAGGCTGCATGTGTGCAGCTTATCATGCATCTAGTTTGCAGATGACATGAGACTAGGTAAGGTGTTTAGTATTTCATACCAACTTTCTTCTGGTGTGGACTGCACCCATTTTCAAGGCAATTGTCTTGCTTTTAGCAGGTAACAAATGCAGGGGTTATAAAATAACCAATTCAGGTACGGTTGTAAGATATTGTCTACTTTATCCATCTAATGTGCAACCCATGCAAAACTTTTACCACCAAAGCGGAGGTGTGTGATACTATGATGTTTTTGGTCGTGTCGATTCAATTAATTGGCATAGATCAGCACTTCAGAGTTCAGACAAAAAGGAAGGCACCATATGGAGAAACATACAGGATTATGTTTACAAATAAAAAACAAATTGATGGGTCCCTTTCACCCTTCATTGTTTTAGGAAACTGGAATTAGTAGATAGTCTCATTTAATATGAGAAGTTATATGCCTGAACTAATGTAGGATTTTGATTTAAAGTTCAAGGAATGCTGCATTAACATCTTATTGGTGCAAAACTCTTTTTATTTAGCTTTGATTTTTCTATTGTTTATTTTATAATTGAGGTGTAAATTGTAGGAATCCAAGTCCTCACAAGGGATCAAACCAGTCATCCTTTGGACCCGTTATCTGCTGCTGAGATCAAAGTAGCTGTGGCAACTGTCAGGGCTGCTGGAGCAACCCCTGAGGTACTACACAATTTTATGATTTTATACCAAAAGCATCTAATCATGATAATATATCAAAGTGATTGTGATGGAATTCTGTAAATTTTTAGTTCCTTCTCCTTTTCAGGTCAGAGATGGCATGCGATTCGTGGAGGTGGTTCTATCAGAACCGGATAAAAATGTTGTGGCGCTTGCAGATGCATACTTCTTCCCACCATTCCAACCATCATTGTTACCCAGAAGCAAAGGAGGAGCTGTAATACCTACTAGACTTCCTCCAAGGAGAGCTCGGCTTGTTGTTTATAATAAAAAAACAAATGAGACAAGTGTATGGACTGTTGAACTATCTGAGGTACATGCAACGACTCGAGGCGGGCATCATAGAGGAAAAGTCATTTCATCACGAGTTGTCCTAGATGTTCAGCCTCCTATGGTAATGCTACTTTAATGGATAATTATATTTGTTAGCTAATTATGTGACCTTTTCTCTCTCATACCTTACGTTTTTATCTTTTTACTTGGTTGGAAAGTTTTCTTGTTAACACAAGGAAAGAGCCATCAGATTATTAACAATACGATGTTCTCCATCCATTTGGTTATCTTATAAACATATGAACACTAATTTTTGGTATAATGGTGTGGCTTATTTAGTGGACAGAAAGTAGTCTACCTCTTTGTAATTTGGAATGATATGATTGCGCCAAATGCTGCAATTAATGTCTTTGAAATGTTTGTAATCAGGTAACAACTGGGGAAGTGCTTTAAAACTTAAGTGTACTTTTTTGGTATACAAAAACAAAAATAGGAAGTGGCTTGGATCATACTGAAGAGATTGGTTATTATGTGAATCAGGATTTCGCTTGTTTTTCTGTTATGCATGTTTAGGATAAGCTTCAGAGATGGTTCTTCTCCGGTTCTCCCTGATTTTTATAGGGAATCTCACTTGTATCTGATTTTTGTAATAGCTGATATTTTTTTTTCTAAAACAAAAACCAGTTAATATTCCCTCAGCAGCTCTTTGTATGCTCGGTTTTAGTTTTTTGTTCTCATTAATTTGTGCAAAAAATTGATCTACATAGGTATAAATATCTTCTGCTAGGATGCTTCTTTCCTATTTCTGATTGTATAGAACCAACCTTTGAAGGAATGGTCTTTTAGCGCAGACCATCCTTAACAGATATGTGATAAAGACTATAATTTAAGTTTCCGCTGGATAAGCAAGATTCTATATACTTACCCAATAGTTCCACATTAATTGTTCTCATATTTTATCCATCACAGGATGCTGTGGAATATGCTGAATGTGAAGCCGTCGTGAAAGATTATCCTCCCTTTCGGGAGGCTATGAAGAAGAGGGGTATTGAGGACATGGATCTTGTGATGGTTGATGCTTGGTTAGTTAAAGTTACATAAGAAATTTTGGACACAATACATATATAATGGAACTTACCCGTGCTACATTTTTGCATGAAAACTTCTGCAGGTGTGTTGGATACCACAGTGATGCTGATGCTCCTAGCCGCAGATTAGCAAAACCACTTATATTTTGTAGGACAGAAAGTGACAGTCCAATGGAAAATGGGTATGCACGTCCAGTTGAAGGCATATATGTCCTTGTTGATATGCAAAATATGGTAGTGCTTGAATTTGAAGACCGTAAGCTTGTTCCCCTACCACCAGCTGATCCATTGAGAAACTATACTCCTGGTCATACAAGAGGTGGTGTTGATCGCAGTGATGTAAAGCCTCTACAAATTCTTCAGCCTCATGGACCAAGCTTCCGTGTTAATGGGCACTATGTGGAGTGGCAAAAGGTAACTGTTGAGAGGTGTCAAATGTGTAGTTGGTAGTTTCTTTTATACATAAATGACTGTTTTATTCTCTTGGTGGCAGTGGAACTTTCGTATTGGCTTCACTCCGAGGGAGGGTTTGGTAATACATTCAGTCGCATATGTTGATGGTAGTCGAGGTCGAAGACCCATTGCTCATAGATTGAGCTTTGTGGAGATGGTTGTGCCCTATGGTGACCCAAATGATCCACATTATAGAAAGAATGCATTTGATGCTGGGGAGGATGGCCTTGGGAAGAATGCTCATTCTCTTAAGAAGGTATGTCTCATTTGTATTATGTTAAAGCTAAAATATCTTAGTTCCTATCTTGCAAGCATATTGGTGCATGATATGTGGATACTAGTATTTGAAGATTCTAAAAATTAAAGGTATGCGTGTGCATTTACATATACAGATGGAGGATCAAACGAGAATGGTAACTATTTAAGAGAATACGAAAACGGCCAAATCACATGTGAAATCACATGTGATTTTACATTAACGGCCAACGAAGGTATGCTGGCGACTTTGGCCATGTCTTCAGGTCGCGAGGCAAAGTCGCGGTGCAAAGTCGCGTGAATCACATGTGATTCGACCGTTTTCTTGTTCTCTTAACTATGCGTTGTTCTCGTTTGAACCTGACTGACTCTCTCTCTCTCTCTCTCTCTCTATATATATATATATGTATATATGTACAAATAAAAAGAAAACAATAAAAGGATTAAAACTAATGATTTGAACATCAAATATGTAAGATAAATACACACTAATACCCAAGTCTAATCATCCTTTTGTTCTTACTTGGTGTCATGTTAGTCCAAACTATCTGAAAATAGCTTGTTCCACTTGTTTTTTCTCTCTCAATCATAAAACTATCTTTAGAATTTAATTTTAGTCTTTGCTTTTAATTTTGGAGGTTGTAAATTTCATTTGGTAAAGAGAAAATACCCTTTGTGTATCCTAATTCTCATATCCCTGTGAACTCTCGTAATAATTTTAAGATACTGTCAACAGCAGAGCATATGAGGATTTGGCAAGGTTTAGAAGCACCCTAGCTTCCTAGGTCTTAAAACAACGATCCAGTTAACCTGAGCTCTATTGTGGTTCTATGCTAACGATATCTGCATCCACAGGGATGCGATTGCTTAGGATATATCAAGTACTTTGATGCACATTTTACAAACTTCATCGGAGGTGTTGAAACAATTGAAAATTGTGTATGTATGCATGAAGAGGACCACGGAATCCTCTGGAAGCACCAAGACTGGAGAACTGGCTTAGCAGAAGTTCGAAGATCCCGGCGACTCACAGTTTCTTTTATATGTACTGTTGCAAACTATGAATATGGTTTCTATTGGCACTTTTACCAGGTGAGTTTATTTCATTTACAATTCAAAAAACTAATTTTGCAAGCTTTACGGTTCACCTTAAAATTTTGAGTTGTATGTAGTAGGATAACCAGTCAAGGACTGTCTGTAATGCCATTGGATAAGTGTATTTACAATTCAGAAAGATACATTTGCATTGTTTATAGTTATATAGAAACCTCTATCTTTTTTTAGTTCTTTGCATTAGGGTAACTAGTACAATGATTGTCCGTAACTGGTAACCCGGTAGCTAAAATACAAAAAATAGCTTCAGATTGTCAATTTCCAGTATGATCATTGTGAAGTAACATCTACTTCACAAAGCTGTAAAGTGCATGATGTAGAGTGTCTAAAGCGATTCAGCCATACCTTTTGCGAACAGGAAAGTTCTTTTTATGTAGTTTGAGACATATCTTACGACTTATATTAGTTCAAACTTTCTCCTACAGGTATTATGAGTTATTTGTTTTGAGTAGGTGCTTTGTAAGATTACTTATGGTTATAAAGTACAAACCTTTTTACAAAGAGTCATTGGTCTGGTGGATGGTGATACCTAGATGACCGGTAGAATCCAACTTCCTTGGAGGTCAAGAGTTCAAGCCTCACTTTTGGTGAGGAGTCCTTTTTTGGTGGGGGGGGGGGGGGTGACATCTCTTTTTCAAAGATGTTCCATCATCTGCTTGCTTCTTCATCATGTTTTCATGTATATATTAAGTAACATCCTTTTTCCCAGCTTTTTGTATAATTTACTAAAATTCTCATTTTTAGCAGTAGAGCCACAAGGGACCCAGCATTTTTCCTCAATGAGCTCCAATTACATCATGACACAGACATATTTTGAGGACCTAGGCTATCACTTCAGACCTTCATTGTGTATTGAGTCCAAATTTAGGATTTTCTGATTCTTTCTGGAAGCAGTGTAGCTATGTTCATTTACCTATGTTTGCAATGCAGTTGGCTTTGTTTTACTTATTTGACATCAATGCATTTAATATCCATTTTGCTTATTTTTTGCAGGATGGAAAAATTGAAGCTGAAGTCAAACTTACTGGAATTCTGAGCCTAGGAGCATTGCAGCCAGGAGAAGTTCGAAAATATGGCACTACCATTGCACCAGGGCTGTATGCACCAGTTCATCAACATTTTTTTGTTGCTCGAATGGACATGGCAGTTGATTGCAAGGCTGGAGAAGCATACAACCAGGTATGCACGTACTGCCACCGAGGATTGTGTATTTCGTTATGCTACAATAGTATTTTGGAAACTCAACATTCACACGTATATGTGTGTTGTGCTTGTAGGTTGTTGAAGTTGATGTTAAAGTTGAAGAACCAGGAAAAGATAATGTTCACAATAATGCATTCTACACACAGGAAACACTTCTTAAATCTGAATCTCAAGCGATGCGGGATTGTAATCCATTATCTGCTCGTCATTGGATTGTAAGCAGCTTATTTTTGTTCCTTTTAAGAACGTCGATATTTTCGTTAAAATATTCATTTTTATTACACATAAGAACATTGCTTAAATTATTTTGTGATGGCTTATCTTAATCTTATATTATTCAGGTTAAAAATACAAGAACTGTAAATAGGACTGGACAATTGACCGGGTACAAGCTGGTACCTGGTTCCAACTGCTTGCCTTTGGCAGGTTCVGAAGCCAAGTTTTTGAGAAGGGCTGCTTTTCTGAAGCATAATCTGTGGGTTACACCTTATGCATCTGGTGAGGATTTTCCTGGAGGAGAGTTCCCTAATCAAAATCCAAGGGTTGGCGAAGGCCTGGCCTCATGGGTCCAGCAAAATCGATCTCTTGAAGAAACCGATATCGTCCTCTGGTGAGTAAATTTCTGGTCACATTTACTGATCCTTTTGACAGCAAGTGCTTATCAAACATTTTATATATATTGAACATTGCAGGTATGTATTCGGTATCACTCATGTTCCTAGGTTGGAAGACTGGCCAGTAATGCCAGTGGAGCGGATCGGGTTTATGCTTCAGGTATGTTAAATGGTCGGCCTAATGTTGTTTGAATACATTAATAGTTGTATTTTTGTTGGGATTGAAATTGAGATTGTGTTGCAGCCACATGGGTTCTTTAACTGCTCCCCAGCGGTAGACGTTCCACCTGGAGCTTGTGAGTCAGATGTGAAAGATAGCAGCAGCCATGTTAAAGACGCAATTGCTCCGAAGGCGGTTTCAAATGGCTTGATAGCAGCCAAGCTTTGATTTGGCAAATATTTTAGATTTGGTGTGTGAACCAGTACTGTACAGTCTTTTTCTTATGATTGGGTTTTTATACCTTTTTGTTAATAAGTTGCTATTTTGTTTACAAACCTTTTTAATTACAAAGTTTTTTTTAACGTTTTTTTGGATTGGAGTGGACCTCGAGTCATTGTTGAGAGCGCACACACGACAAGGATTGGTAGTCCATAATTTTAAATGAATTATCTAGGCATCAACGTCAACTTTTTTAATAATTCCTAATGCTATAACTTACTTAAATAGTAATGCCCATTAGATTAGATTAATGGTCGAATATTAAGTATTTCTCGAGTAAACGCTTACTGTTATTACTTATCTTATTGATTGAACATAATAAAGATTGAGAATATTATTTGGTAAGCAAAGATCGAGACTCTTACCCTATAAGTGAGGGAGAATACTCTTACCCGAGTAGAGCTTACTAACAATTCATTCTGATATCCGAAAATGTTACCCAAAAATGTGAGGATGATAACTTTTACCGATAAACGTTCAATCTAAAAGTGACTGAGTTACACAATTCCACATTCCTCATAACGCAACAAGACACACTTTGCTAAATGAACAAAATGATATTAGCATGAGATCAAACGAGTGGATGACAACCACATCCTTACAAAAGAAACCAAACCAAAAAGAATACAAATATATCGAGTCTTCAGACCTTTTGTTTTTTCGATCCCAGCTACATTATTATTTTTAATAAATTTAAAATTCCACGTAATTGATAGATAAAAATAAGATATAAGACTTGAATAAGATTTTTATACTTTTGACATATTTTAGAAAATGTAGGATTTATTTAGTAAATACTTGATTTTAAAATTATTAATTATAGCTTTGAAATATCATAATTGGAATAAAAAATAAAGCATCTTGTGAAAAATAATTATTGATAATTAATTTTAGGGGGTGTTTGGGATTGCTTATTTAAAACAACTTATGCTTTTTTGTAAAAGTGCTTATTAACTTATGTGGTATCAAACTGGAGTTTTGTAAAAAGTGTTTGGATTAGCTTATAACGGTATCAAAAAGCAATAAGTTGATAAGTTGGTTTTTAGTGTTTGGCAAATTTGGCTTATAGATGTAAAATTACCAAAAAGGTCCTCCAATCAACCTCCTGTTCATCGTCTCCATCCTCGCACTCCAAACCCTATTTTCTCCAAATTCCTCTCCATCCTCATCACTCCAACCCTATTTTCTCCAACCTCCTGTTCATCGTCTCCATCCTCACCGTGGAAGAGGTTGTCATCGCGAGACCCTGTGAGTGGTTTCTCCCCGAGTTTCACTGCATCGGCGAGTTTCTTGGCACCGATTTCCGTCTCCAAGACGACATCCGTCTCCAAGATGACATTCGATTCGATTTCACAGGCTTCACAGAGGCTTTGGTGAGATGGACAGACCTCGATTTCTCTGGTTTGAGATTCTCTGGTTCGATTTCACAAACCCTAATTCATCAGTCGGTCGCTTGAGAGGGTAAGGGTTAAAATGGTAAATTGTTAATAAGTTGATTTTGATAAGTCAGGGGAGATTGACTTATCAAAAACGACTTATTACCGGTTTGGTACCGGTATAAGCATTTTTTTTTTTTTACCCAAACACTCCAAAATGACTTATCTCCGGTACCGAACTGAAATAAGTTAATAAGTCAGTTTGAAAAGCTTACCCAAACACCCCCTTAGAATTCCCCTTAAAACTGCAGCGATTTCCTGAAAAACTCCTCAGATGGTAGGAAAGACAGCAATGGCGGCAGCCATGATTTCCCTCAAATTCCAACCATCCATTCCTCAAGTTCTCCCCTATCCCTATCCTTTCTCATCCAAACCTAAATTCCTGACACTCAGATCCCACATCTCCTCCGCCAAAAACCACGACGACGGAATTCCGACCGACCTTGTCAAAACCCTAGCAAAGTTCAAATCCAGGCACAACTTCATCAGGGTCCTCGAAGTTTCCCGAAAATCGGACCACCCTTTTGCCGGTTCCAGACTCCTCTTACTCGATGCACCGGGCAATATTCACAGCATCTCCTTCCTTCTCAAACTACTCACCGGCACCTACTTCGACGTCTTTGCCACATTTCCACCCATTTTACCTCCTGGACCCTTGGGAATTCTTGGCTTCGGAGCCGGCTCGGCTGCCAAATTGATATTGGAGTTGTACCCTCAAGGCGTGGTCCATGGATGGGAGCTTGACCCGGCTGTAATCGCTGTTGGGAGAGAATTTTTCGGCCTCTCCAAACTCGAAAGGCAATTCCCAGATAGGCTTTTTATCTACGTCGGCAATGCGTTGAGTGCTAACATGGATTCTGGGTTTTCGGGTTTGTTGGTTGATTTGTTTAGCAAAGGGTGTGTGATTCCGGAGCTCCAGGATCCGGATACATGGATGAAGATGAAGAAGAAGTTGAAGGAAGGTGGGAGGATTATGGTAAATGTTGGAGGGAGTTGTGTGGAAGCAGAGGATTCCAGGAGAGATGGGAAAGTAATTATGCAGGAGACATTGAAGGCCATGGAGAAGGTGTTTCCAGGTGAGGTGTGGGTTTTGAATCTTGGAAGCAATGACGATGATAGCTCAATCGCTGTTACAGGATCATTGCCTAATTTGGATTTGTGGAAGAAAGATTTACCTAAATCTTTGAGGTTTTATGTTCATATGTGGAAACCATTTACTAATACTATTCAAACAAACGCTTAAAGATCTTGTCTTGTTATCTAATCAATGGTGACATTTTCCTTGCACGTAACCTGTTCGACGAAATACGTCAGAGAACTAATCAACCCAAATCCAATTTTCCCCAAGAAATTTCATATGTATTTTAACAATATATAATCTTTTTAACACTAATTAATTCAATTTTATTAGGTTATATTGATCTCATTTGGGTTCTACATGATCATTGTAGAGAATTCTTGTTATATTTGTTGTACTTATGTGTTGTCCCAAGTATCAAAATAGTCAATTCTAGATTTTTGCCTAAACCCTTGAATGACGAAACGAGCCTTGAATTTATCATTTGTCTCATCAATTTTCATTTTCCTTCTAAAAATCCATTTGCATCCAAGTGATTTAGAACCGGGAGGCAAATCAGATAACACCCAAATGCTATTCTCAAGTATTGATGACTTTTCATCATCAATTACTTCCTTCCAAAAGGCGACATCCCGAGGCTCCATATCCTCTTTGAAAGTCTTTGGATCATCTTCAATGCCATAACAATAATAGTATTGAAGTCCAATCTCTTCTCTTGAACCTTCCACTAAATACAGTTGGAGGTCGGGGCCAAAATTTTTGGCAACTCAAACCTCTTTTGCTTTTTCGGACCTGTCATATTTCCAGATCAGAAATACCATCTAAACTTTCTGGATTTTGTATTTTACTAGTACTAGGAATCAAGTCCTTAGGCCTTTGTATTGATGAAAATCGCATTTCATCAAAAATTGCATCCTGCGACTCAATTACGGTGTTAACCGACACCGAATCATTAGGTTCTATGTATAAGCCTTGGAATTTTCTGCATATCCAATTAATATACAATCAATTTCATGTTCACCCAAAGTTTTCCTTTTAGTTTCAGGTAGTTTTACAATATCTCGACAACCCCAAATTCGAAAATACCTCAAATTCAGGATTTTCTTGAACCAAAGCTCATATAGGGTTGTTTTGTTCAATTATTTGGAACCCTATTTAATACATAACAAGCCGTTAACATAGCCTCTACCTAAAATCTCTCACTCAATCCCGAGTAAGAAAGCATCGAGTTGGGGGTGTGTGTGGTGCGGTTGTCTCATGGATAATACCAACTGATTGAAAATATTGGGGATCCATACCTCTCTTTAGTCAATTCTAAGACATTTAATTGAACTACCCAATTGTAATTCAACTTCGGGGTTTTGTAAATTTTGAACTTATCCAAAGCTTCATCTTTGGCATGCAAAAATGCACATAACAAAACCGAGTATTATACAATCTTGTTGTATCTCATTGATGCGATAACTTATCCAATCTTGTTGCATTAAACACTCAGAACACCAACTTGTTATATCTCATTGACGCGATAACACATTTTTGTCGCATCCAATAGATGCGCAGGGCCGGCCTTGGGCATAAGCTCAAGGGGCGACGGCCCAGGGCAGCATAAAGCCCAAGGGCATCAAAAATTCAAAAGCCCAATGTATATATATATAGGTTCAGTTTTTACTTGGGCCTAAAAATGTTACCGTTAGCCTACTACCTTAGTCCGTTAGAGTTATCAGTCCATCTGTTGATCTGCATCTAGACTCTCGCTTCATTCTGTGGACTCGTTCACGACTTCACTCTCAATAGTCAAATCGAAATCGAAATCGCTCTTCTCTCGCACTCGTCGCCTCTCCGGCCGTCGCACTCTCGCTCTCCGCCTCTCCGGCCGTCGCCCGTCGCCCTTCGCGGCCTCGCCCTTTGCGGCTTTGCCCTTCGCGGTTTCGCCCTCTGCCCCTCTGCCCTGACTTGTGTTGATTTGAGGTTAGGATTCCTGATTCATTTAACATTTTAATTTTTAAGTATTTAAGTATTTAACTATTTAAGTCTTTATGAATTATGACTTTATTTTTAACTTAGTTACTTAGGGAGTTAGGGTGATTATGTGAAATTTAACTATTATATTACTTATTTTATTTTTTAAGTTTTTAATTTTGTTTGATTGGAAACCTAATAATGAAGTTATGAAACTAGGCTTAGATGTGATTCTGTGAAATTGGTGAGTGGACAGTGGTGACTTGCTTTGTTGGACAATTGTCAATTGCTTATGTTTGAGTTTGACTCACTGATGAATTTTGTTTCACCATTTGTTAATGTTTTAACTTTTATAGATGCTTAATCTTATGTTTAATACTTTAACTTAGGGGTTAGGGCTGTTTTACAGATGCTTATATTTTCTCGTTTATCAATTTGTCTAGGTTGCTTAACAGTTCCACTTTCTTGGCAATTTCACAACACAAACCACGAAGTACCAAATCCAGGTGTTATCTTTCTATTCTTTATCTTGTATATGTGTTTAACAATTTAACTACTTAAGTTATGTTGCCTCGATCACAACCATCGGGTGCTCAAAATAGGAAAAGAAAAAAAAGGCAAGAAGAAATTGCTCAATCTTTGCAAGGATCTTTAAATAAATTTATTGTTAGACAACCAAATGTTTCTGAAAATGCTAGTGATAAAAATGAAAATGCTTGTGATGCAAATGGTAGTGATAAAAATGAAATTACTTGTGATGCAAATGTTTGTGATGAAAATACTAGTGATAAAAATGAAAATGCTTGTGATACAAATGCTTTTGATGCAGATGAAAATGTTAGTGATGAAAATGTTTGTGCTTGTGATGATGAAAATGCTTGTGATATAAATGCTTCTAGTGATGTTCGTTTGAATATATTTGATCCGAGAATTTGGGATATGCTAAATTCTAAAATGAAAGATTTGCTTGTTCAAAAAGGGCCTATTAGGGAAACTAACATCAATTTCCCTAGAGATAATATAGGTAGACACTTCTCTGATGAATTTTATGTTCGTAAGTTACGCAATGTTAATTGTCATGATAGAAAGTGTTTAGTTTATTCAAAAGAGCTAGATAAAGTCTTTTGTTTTTGTTGCAAACTTTTCAAAAAAGGCCGGTCAAAAAGCCAATTAGCAAGTGTTGGATTAAGTGATTGGAAACATCTTGGTCAACGATTAAACACTCATGAAAATAGCATTGAGCATATGACTAGCTTGGGAATTTGGTCCGAATTGCGATTGAGATTGAGTAAAAATGAAACACTTGATAAAGAGCTACAAGATTTAATAAAAAAGGATACCTATCACTGGAAAGAAGTTTTGGTTAGAATTATTATTGTTGTTAAATGTCTAGCAAAGAATAATATAGCTTTTCGTGGGAAAAATGAAAAACTTTTTGAGGAATCTAATGGTAACTTCTTGGGCTTAATTGAAATGATTGATGAATTTGATCCAGTTATGAAACAACACTTTCAACGTATTAAAGAAAAAAAATTCATTATCATTATCTTAGCCACAAAATTCAAAATGAATTGATTGACATGTTGGCATCTAATGTTAAGAGTGCAATCATTAGAAAGATCAAAGAGGCAAAATATTTTTCAGTTATTCTTGATTGTACTCCGGATGCAAGTCATCAAGAACAAATGACTTTGATTTTAAGATGTGTTGACGTGTCTAGCTCTCCTATACAAGTAGAAGAGTTATTTTTAGAGTTTTTGGTGGTAGAAGATACATCTGGTTTAGGACTTTTTAATGTATTACAARATGTTTTGAAATCACTTGATTTGGATATCAATTATGTGCGGGGACAAGGGTATGACAATGACTTTAATATGAAAGGGAAACATCAAGGTGTGCAAAAAAGATTACTTGATATAAATCCTAGAGCCTTTTATATGCCATGTGGTTGTCATAGTCTTAATTTAGTTTTATGTGATATGGCAAATTCTTGTCACAAAGCAAAAACCTTTTTTGGTACTTGCAAGCCATATACAATGTCTTTTCTAATTCTACAAAGAGATGGACTGTTTTATTAGAWTATATTGATGATTTGACTTTGAAATCTTTATCTGCTACTCGATGGGAAAGTCATATTGAAAGTGTTAAAGCTATCAAAAATCAAGTTGGCCAAATTAGAGATGCTTTAGTACAATTGGCTCAAGTAAGTGAGGATGGAAGAGTGTGTAGGGAAGCCGAGTCTTTGGTTAATGGTGAGCTTTCAAGTTTTGAGTTTATTATAAGTTTGGTTATTTGGCATGAAATTCTGTATATAATTAATTTAGTTAGCAAGAAGTTACAGTCTAAAGATATGCTTCTTGATGTTGCAATACAAAATCTAAAGGGATTAGTTGAATATTTTGAAAAATATAGGGAAAGCGGGTTTATATGTGCCATTCGTGAAGCTAAAGAGATTGCAAGTAATATTGGAATTGAACTTGAGTTTGCTGTAAAACGTTTTTTCTCAAGGAAAAAACAATTTGATGAAATTCCAAATACGAAGAGAGAACAACAATCCGCTCAAGAGACATTTAGAACTGATTATTTTCTTGTTTTAGTTGATATGGCTCTTTTGCAGTTACGAACCAGATTTGAACAAATGCAAGAATTTGAATCTATGTTTGGCTTCTTGTTTGATGGGCGAAATTTGGTAACTTTACATGATGACGAGTTAAAAAAATGTTGTTTGAACCTTAAACTTGCTTTAACAAATGGTAATGATTCTGATATTGATGGCGAATATTTGTTTATGGAGTTACAAATTTTGCAGGGAATGCTACCAGAAGAGGCATCTAAAAGTGGAAATCCTTGGACATCGATGTAAATTATAGAGTTCGCAAAGAAAATGGACATGTTTCCACATGTCTTGCTTGCTTACAGGATACTATTGACCGTACTGGTGACCGTAACATCTGCGGAAAGAAGTTTTTTAAAGTTAAAGTTGTTGAAGTCATATCTACGGTCTACCATGAGTCAAGAAAGATTGAACGGGTTAGCAATCTTGAGTATTGAGAATAAGTTTTTAGCTAATATTAGTTATGACGAAGTGATAGATATTTTTGCTTCAAAAAACGCAAGAAGACATCGTTTATGTACTTTATCTTTTGTTACACGGGGTTTTGGTTTATGTCTTTCCCGTTGCATCATTTTTGTTATATATAAGGGGCACTTTTTTGTTACATTGACTAGGTTCAAAAACCATTCAAATAGTTTATTTTGGTTTTTATTTACACGTATAAGGGGCATTTTTTTTACTTTCCGCCGTGGGCATCCAAAATCTCAGGGCCGGCCCTGTAGATGCGATAACCCAACTTGTTGCATCCAACATATGCGATCACCTCAACTTGACACATCCACTAGATGCGATAAACTCATTTGTCGCATCATAAAGATGCGATAACATCATTTATCGCACCATAAGAATGCGATAAAAACAACCCAATTCATCCATCTCAAACTCATCGCATTAAACACATGCGTTAAAAATTTAACCCCATCGCATCATAAAGATGTGATAACAATAACTCATGATAAAAAGATCATCATTCCATAAATTGGTTATGTCACTCTCATCCAGTATACCTAACTTCTGATTTTTCCACCCTTATTACCAAATATACCAAGTTCCTGATTTTGCCACCCTTATTAGCAAATATATCTAGCTCCTGGTTATGTCACTGTTATTACAATCGGTTGATAATAATATTGAATCTATATGCCCATGACACTAAACTTGACGATACGGTTAATGATACACGATCCCAAAGGATCACACACATACAAGCAAATTAACCTCAATCGTACGATCGAATGTGATTTGATTATTTTTTTAATTCAAACAATTGTCATGCAAATTATTATTCAATCGAAATAATAATTTACATATGATAATAAAATATATGTTATATATATTTTGACTAGTGTTTAAGTCTAATATGTATTTGATACATATTATTATTTCCATTTCAGTTTATTTGGGCTTCTAATTTACAGAATTGAGCTTCCAATTGATTTGGGTTTAATTTAGAATTAGGCTTCCAGTTTATTTGGGATTCAATTGCACCATTTTAAGATTCAAGAATAATACAATAACACATTCTAAAACGATACGGTCGCACCATTCACAAACCTAAACTTTTCACTCTTCGACAGAGGAATAATACGGTGGGCACGTGCCACCTATACCACCTAAACAGGTCCGTCCCTGAAAGAAGGTCCCTAGATATATGTGTGTGTTTGTGTGCAAATTACGAAAAAAACTCATATCAAATGAAAAAAAAATCATAAATAGATAAAACAAGATAATCAAGATACCGAACATATCTTAATATTTTGATGTACCAAAATATGTCTATGACCGAACCCACTTCACCCGAACACAACGGTTTAAGTATAGGTTAAGTGGCTTGAAATAGTTTAGTATCAATGAGACAATGATGACCTTGCTTGACACACCATGGCTTCATTGCTTGTTGAATAAGGTGTATTTTTAGCTTTTGTCTGTCTGGAACCATCGCATGCAATTGCAATTTGCAGACCTCAATCTCTAACATAACATCTGTCGCCTTTCATTCCACGCGTCTACATTCCCCTCTCTTTACATACTCCACTTCCTTCACCTTCACCTTCCACTCTCACTCTCTCATCGTACGTCGATGGCGGAATACCACCGGCAGCCGCACAACTATGGATACCAGCAGCAACACCACCCCATGGACACCACCAAGGGCCAACACTACAACCAACAATCTACATCAAAACTCTTAGCAGTCCTGACACTCTTCCCCGTTGGTGGCGTCTGCTTCCTCCTCGCTGGTCTCACTCTCACCGTAACCCTAATCGGCATCGCCATCGCCACCCCGGTTTTCGTCATATTCAGCCCTATCCTAGTCCCAGCGGCCCTATCCATCGCATTGGCGATCACAGGATTTATAACATCTGGAGCTTTCGGAATCACGGCCTTGTCTTCCCTGACCTACATCTTCAACTATTTCAGGAAGACGGGTGGCAGCAGTAGCAGTGGCAGTGGTGTGTCGCTGCAAGATTCGATGGATTATGCAAAGCGGAGGGCTCAGGACACAGCTGGATATGTGGGTGAGAAAGTGAAAGATGTGGGCCAAAGGACCCAAGACTCTGCTGCTAGGGCCTAATCTGTATCTATAAGTCTAAGCTTCGAGTGTTCACCTGTGGTGGATTTCATGTTGATGTTGTTTGAATAAAGAATGATGTTGCTTTCCTGTTGTTACTTCAGATCCAGAACCCAGGGTTTTGTAGATGTAAAACGAAAAATGACCCAAAGATTCATATACATATAACATCACCAAGACAAAAGGAAACATCTTTTTTTACACAGGCCTATGGCTAACCATTATCTTGTAAAACAAAAATTTTGACTTTCAAGACACAATTGCAGGCAGCCTCTCGGTGAAGAGCTTAAATTCGCTATCTCGACTCAGCATGCTGATCCTCGTGTATTCCGAGCTCGCCCCAAAATGCTTCCCACCTCTCGTGTATATCTTATGTTTCCGCAGGAAGCTTTCACAATCACCCACTTCTCCTCCTTCGCACTTTAACCAAGCAAACGCTACAGAAACATATATACAAAGAAAACAAACTGTCAGAGTCTACTCGTTCTCTTTAATACTTAGTCGTCGAAGTTTTCCTTGTGAAATTACCAGGCAGCTGTCCAAAAGTCCGGCCACTGAAACAACATGTCTCCATTGAAAAACTGGGTAAGCTGAAAAGTTGTGTCTTATTCACCGCTTCTCTAAGTTTCTTCCATCTTTCTTCCATGTGCTTATAGCTATAGTCGAAGAAGCTTTCAGCTGCTTCTTTCTGGTTGGCATGATCACAACTATCAGATACGGCTTGCAATATCTTTGCTGCTCGGATCTGTGAATCTTTAGACACACCGATGGTGTTGATCTCTATAAATGTCGTCATTTTCTTAGCAACTTCTCTATCTTTAACAAGAGCCCAGCTGCAAAAAAGACCAAAAATAAAGGTAATTCCTTTTATCTATGACTTCCAAGGTCAATGGGACTTCTCTTCAAATCCACATTCCCAATCTTTTATGTTCTATTGGTTTTAATGTACTTCTCAGAATTTCCTCACAACAACAGAAAACTCATTGGTTGTAGAAATTTTTAGAACTGTCTGTTTGACTACAAAAGGTCAACACAACTGTTTTATTTTTTCTGGAACAGGACTACCAATAAGGTGAAATAAGAAATTACCCGATTCGCGTACCAGCATGGCCAGTACTTTTGGACACGGTGAAGAGCATAATATCATAGTCTGCAGGTAATATAATCGGTGTATATTGTGGCCAGTAGTAAGCAAGATCATGAATCAAAATCCCTTTGTCTCCTTTTACTACAGCTTGCTTGGTAAATCCATCAGGATTGTTAGGAGAAGTCACGAGCTCAATGTAGGGCTCTTCTTTATTAAACTCATTTGCATCACCTGCCCATTTGTGTAGCCCTGATTTCAGGTAGTCGGTCATCAATGGATACGACTGCAAGCAATCATAAAAACTCAAATTAAAATCACGCCCACAAGGTGTTCTTCTAATCTCTATATTGTCAGCTCACATGTGCATTGAACCATGATCACATTAAAGAAATCATGCTCATTGTAGGTAGCTTGAATTCTAAGTAGCATCTCATTTAAGTTGGAATATTAATTGATTTGACTTCTTAAAGTCATGTTATCTTCCCTATATAAGTGTAGTGCAAGCTAAGTTGTCTTTGAAACCCGTGGAATCAGTAAATACATTTGTGTGACTCGCAGGCGAGTGATCTAAAATCCAAATACATGTCTCACAGGCACCATTCAAACACGGGCATTAATGGAAATGTAAGCACAAGGAGAAAGACATTAATGAAGCCTCATCAATATGAATATAGAAATATTTTTGTGACTTTGCTTTCGCAACAAGTGATCAGAAAATAGTTGCAGAAAAGCATGCTCATAGTAATCAAAGCATGTGTAAGTCTTAGGGGCTGTTTTATTTTTTTCCATTAGGCTCTATACCTATTAAGCTGTCTGTAAGGATTAATCTGTTTTGATGAAGTAGGATAAATTGTACTTGCATAAGCAATCTCTCATTTGAATCAACAGGGTGTCACTCATACAAAGTAGAAACTAGTAATGCTTATAATAAGTAAAGAGTTTACCGAGTAGAATGGAGCAGCAGACACCACATTCATAGGCTGTGGAGCGTTGGGAGGTGAGAGCGCGTAAAGCGCAGCCTGATAAAGTTGTGAAGAACCCGTTCCCACAACAATATGTCGACCCTCGGTGATCGCGTTGCCAACCACTTTGTGCAACCTCCTGATTGCACTCACAAGCTGTGGCTCCAAAAACCAGCAAACGTTTTTTACATCCGAAAAATAACTTATGTGCTGCCAACCTGAAGTCACAACCGTTATCTCTTTGCCTTTTTGCTTCCAAAAGCTCTCATACATCGTTGGGTCGCCACTGGATTTTAAAAAAACATCACATATTACCCGAAAATAGTAAAATAATACATAATGGTTGGCGAAAGAATCCTAATACGGTCTGGAAAGAGAAGAGACGTGGTAACATGTGTAAAGATCCCAATGTGCACCTAATATTAATATTGTTTGGAGTTAGGTATGTAAGATAGATCTTTGACTATATGGTATTAGACTAAGCTCGAACTCGATTCTATCAATATTTGTTTAAAGGAACCAGTGTTTGATAAAAACAAGCTCGATGCAAAATATACACCAAAACATAGAGACCCAAGAGTTCCATATAACCAAAGTTCTTATAAACTGTTTGGAACTCATATAGACAAAAGTTCTTATAAACCGATTAATGCATGTCAAATAACGTTGGGCAGGGGACTGACATGGTAACATGTTCTTTCAGGACTTTAACCAACCACATGAGCAGCAAGTCCCATAAACAGTGGTATAATTAACGATCAACAGGAGAACATACATATATATATATATATATACATACATATATATATATACATATATTATACAGTCTGGGTTTAAAAATAAGGGGGTTGATATCCCCACCCCCTACATCACTTTTCACCCCTCCTCCTCACACCAACCCTCACTCCCACCCTCACAACTTTCCCTCACTCTCACCCTCACATACTCACCCCTTTACACAATCTCACCCCCTCACATGCACCCATAGGAGGGGGTGGGGTTAGAAAAACCCAAAAATAAAAGTGGGCAAATCATTGAAACGGGTTCTACTTTTTGTTGCTTTAATTAAACTAAATAAAGTGAAAAAGTTATGATCTTATTATTATTGTTGTTGAAAAGATTGATGTTCAGGAAGAAAGCAAAAGCAATGATGGGCGGCGGTGGTGGAGGTAGTGGTGGCGGTGGTGGCGGTAATGGCCATTACAAAGAAAAAAAAAGAGAAAAACAAATTGGGTACGTGAAAACGAAAGGAAGACGACAATAGGCACATTAACCCATAGTGCACGTTAGCATGAAATCGCAGACCCAAGAATCGGGAAGTAAATATTTTGGATGTAACACCGGTGGCTCCCCGTACCACTACCATCCATCGTCGGAATCCATAACACCGCCTTACAGTCTACGGACATAAGCGCATGTTTATATGGCGCACGTTAGTATACACAACAACAACCCATCAGCTCGATTTCTCGTATCGGCTTCATTCATTCAAGCCGAGTCTTTAAACAAAATAAAATTTGGGAATAAAATTAATTAATTAATGAAGGTATTTTCTTCAATTTTTGATTTTAAATATATATAAAAAACTACTTTTGGGTACAAAATATGTAACAGTTGATTTTAAATAAAAAAAATTGAAAATATTTGCAAGTTATATGATTACAAAATGTTGATATAACGATAATATTCAGGTACGGCGGGACAAGCACTTACTGGTCGAGATTGATGACAACACTCTCCCCGCCATCTGGAATCTCAGGAGGAGCAGGAGCAGAAGCAGAAGCAGACGACGTCGTTGACAGTAGCTGCGTGTTCTTGCTAATCTGCGCCTCCTCTTCTTCTCTTCTGTCGCCATTACAACCAAAGGCATGAAAATGAAGCTTCTGCTGTAGATTTCCCCAGCTACTCCATTTGGAAGATAGGGTTTCTTCATTGTTATAGCTTATTTTCCAAATCAAACCAATATTCATTGCCAGAGATACTACTAGAACATTCTTCAAAAAGACGACAAAATCCACCATGTCTTCGTTTTCAATGCGATTCGTTTGAGAGATCCAAATCTGAAGCTCCTTCTCGAAATGGAGGAACAACAAGTGGTAGGAATTTAGTAGAAAACGTTTAAACGGTGGCCATGGATGATGAATCTGGACAAAGAAACAGTAGCATTTTTCTCGATTATTGGGAAAATTTTGTGAGAGAGATGAAAATCTTCATCGATTGTGGAAAGGATTTGGGGAATCAACAGATGTTTGAGTGCTGTATTGTATCAAGAATTTAGCAGGCAGACATCTATGGAGAAAGGAGGAGGAGGAGCAGGGGGAGTGTTTATGGTGCTGGGTATGGAAATGGGCTTCAAAGGCTGCTCACTGCTCTGTAACAGTTAAGCTTTTCCACTTGCTAAAGGTTTCTATTCTTTTTCTTTTGAATTGTAATTAATATTTTATTGTAGTGAATTATGCATTTGGTCCATGTACTTTTGTAAAAGTTACGTAATTGTACATGAATTTTGTTTATTACATAAAGAACCCTTGACGTTTGCATTTTATTTTGGAATTGGTCCCTGTTCATAACGTATGGCTGTCCCATCCGTTAAGTATGATGTCAAAACTGTCTTTTTACTGACATTTTCGACAGATTTTTCAAAACTTCTTTAAAATGGAGAATGAAATTTCAAAATCTCTAAAAGAAAAATATATTCGATTTCAACGAGTTCTCTATTTTGGAGATTATAACATTGATTTTAGTACTAAAATATTCATTTTACTTAATAAAATACTATTTGTGTACCCGCGCAATGTAGCGGGAGCCGTGAATTTTAACGATTTTGAAGTTTCACTAGTTTTATTAGAGAAGATTTAACAATGATATAAGTTGCACTTGGTTTTTACGTATTAATACAATTTGAATAAATAATAGTTATGATTCCAATTACAGTCTATCAATGAAAAAAATTGTATAACAGTTTAAAATCCAACATATTTAAACGACTCCACAAATGTGTTCTTACACCAAGAGCAAAGAATCAAGAGACCGAGAATTCTAGAGCAATTGAATGAATGAGATAATTTTTTTAATAACTCATGGTGAATACCGGTTTGAATCTCACATTAGGGGATGGAGAGAAGACATAGAGGTATGAGAAAGTGAAAGTATGAATGAAATGTGTCAAAAGTATCGTAGGAACATGAAAAGAAAATATAATAATATGCATTGGTAACTTGTATTACATGTTATTTTAATTAGAGATTAAAATATTTTAAGACTAAATGCATAAAATAGTAGTACTTAATGCATTATAAGTTGTTTTTAAGACTTTTAAGATTTTGTGCATAAATGTATATGTTATAACTGGTTTCAGACAATCTGGGTTAAGGTAAAATTATACGTTCTTAATATTTGAATATCTAATGGTATGCATGATAAAATAATATACATGGATGATATATGTGCAAAGACATGATGAACGTAAAAGGATGCATGCATATGTTATGTTATGTATGTGTATACATGTGATAAATTGCATACCTTAATAGATAAGGTACATGTGCAATATAATAATATTTAAAATGGTATCTTAGTGAGGAAGTAAAGTAATGGTATCTTAGTGAGGAAGTAAAGTAATAGTTTCTTAGTGAGGAAGTAAAGTAATGGTTTCTTAGTGAGGAAGTAAAGTAATGATTTCTTAGTGAGGAAGTAAAGTAATGGTTTCTTAGTGAGGAAGTAAAGTAATGGTTTCTTAGTGAGGAAGTAAAGTAATGGTATCTTAGTGAGGAAGTAA